GCTCCCCTGCCCCACCAAAGGGCGAATGTGTGTTCTGTTTGCTACTGAATTAAACTACGCCACTTACAGAAAACCATGTAACCAAGATCAATCCTGCCTCAGGCTTTTTGAATGTCTGTAACTAGCCAAAGAGTTCTGGTCAGAAGCCAGGCCCAAGCTTCAAGCCCATCTTCCTCTCCTTGCCAGCCTACATGGGATTTGGAGTTTTGAGACAAGCCCTATGAGGCTTTTTCCATTCAGAAAGCACCTTGACAACTGTTAAACAAGAAAGCCTTGCTACACATTCTTGGAAGGGCTTTAATATCCGTTTTAGTCAAGGTTTATTGACATGGTAACTAAGAGCTTCACACTAACTTCAAAGACCACCAAACTTAACTCCTTCCTCTTCCTTACTCAGCAGGCCCCTTCTGCCACATTTTGTTTGTTACAGTCACAAGCTCAATGACAGATATCCAGAATCTCCCTCATTTCTCCCAAACCATCTGCATATCAATACCTGCTAATTAGGTGATTTTAGCACCAGCAATGCACCAATCTGCCTTTGTCCCAAAATACACACCCAGAAAACACCCCAGGAAAAGCTACTGCTGAGTGCTTGCTCTGTGGGGAAGTTTCTTGCATACCAATTTTAACATAAGGACACAAGAATATACTGCTTGTCTGTACTAGGTTGTTTTCCAAACCTCCCCCCACCCAAAACCCACTGTTGCAGCCCCCTCCTCGAAAGTGCCAGAAAGCTTTTGAGTGGAACCCAAACTTGGGTGTTTCCAAGATACCTGCTGCTGAAGTATGCCAGTCAAATCTCTCTATGCCAATGGCGGCTCATCTCTGAGACATAAAAAGTGAAGCAATATGAAGCTTAGATATGTTCATGACAGAATATTCCATGGAAGAATGAACTGAATAAGCTGATGGGGGTCCCATTTCCTTCATTAAACTTTTCTTCTACAAAACAGGGTACCGCTGGTGGCTTAAAAATGAACCAGCACAGAAAGCAAGTTAGGCTCTGTTCTCCCTGTGTAGCTTAAAAAAAAACCTCTCTCTAGAATAAACAATTGCTATTTTTTTCCAGAATTACTTCAGCTAAGTCTACTTACTCTGTTAGTATAATTGTTTAGATATACAATGTGGGGTTTTACTGGTTAATTCAGCTTCAGAGTTTACTTTAGTCCAGGGGTAGGAGACAGAGCAGTTTTGGTTTCAGTACAGATTACTGGAATTAGAACATACAAACCATTAATTATATGGTTTGTTATGCAAGCCGCTCAACTGTAAGGGTAGGAGAAACTCGTGAGCGAGTTTCTGTCTGTCACTGGGGACTATCCCATTAAAGATAAAAATCTAAAATTGCCACAACCATGAACTCAGTCACAAGACTGCCAATAGCACATTATTGTGGGATTAAAAGATGCAAATGCAAAACTGTTAATTACAGGTTGTTCTATGAAGAGATGGTTACATTTGCTGACCTGTTAACACAGTTATCTCCCAAAATCATGAGACATAAATGGAAGAGGAAACCATTAACCCACCATGCACGCGTGTGCACGCATGAGAAAGATCAGTTGCAATAACAGCCTTTGGCTGTTAAATTATTTTATTTACAGAACTTCACTGAGGAACGTTAAACAGGCTGGAAAATAGCCTTGAAATACAGCCAAGGGAACAAGCTTCCCTACCCCCCCACCACCATGGAGCCTGGTAGCTCAGACACCTGCAGTTTGCAGAAGCTACACAGATAAGTTTAGTAATCATTTACCTGGAGGAAGCAGAGCTTACTGAGTTGTTTCCGGCTGCATGCGACTCATGCTTCATATATGTACATATTTGTGTGTGCACTCAAGCAAAAGGGGAATGAACGAGCAAGTGGCGAAGTCAGAGGGACCTGCCTACGTGAAGCAGAGAGCTGTCTGCATGGATTCCTTTCCCAGCTAGTGAAAAAGAAGCCAAGTCACAAAACACACCCACCCCCAGCCTATAAACTTCCCCAGATATCACATGCTGTTGGACTAGCCTGCCTCATACTGCAGACAAGAAACCACAGCCCTCTCACAGAGTCAGGGTTAAAAGGGATTTACTAAGAACTACCATGTAGAACTGGACATAGAGGAAGAAGCAAAGGAGGCAGCTTTTTCCTAAGAGATGCGATCAGCACTTCACCAAGAGAATGGAGAGTGATCTACTGCAGATGGCATAATGCACACAGATCATACAGATATGGATTTGCTGTAACTGCCTTTACAACACTGAGAAATTGCATGGGAGGTGGCTGGGAAATTCCCAAGTGAGGGAAGTGGAGAAGTCTCCAAGGGTATGAACAGGTTACACACCTGAGCTAAGGAGGAAAAAGACATGGGAGCCAGTGTCAGAAAGAGGCAGATACAGGGGGGTTGGAATGAAATACAGAACTTTATCCATGTAGTGTAAAATACATATCCTTAAAACACCTTTCATTGCTTCAAGCCAAATAGGTCTGAGATGAGCCACACAGCACTGTCACTCCTACAACATCCTCAGGCTCCCTGAGCCCCTTTCCAAAGACCCAATACACCTGGGTCACCTCTCCAATGCTCCTCTTGGGTGCCAGGAGGTTATCCCTCTTCTCTCCATATATGCCTCAAGACTGTCCTGCAAAGTCCCACAGGCACACACTCAAGTCTGAATGATAACTTCCATAATGGGATCACCTACCCATCAGTCATCATTATTGGCACGATACAGCCTGCAGTAGTTGGACAGCCAAGTATTTGCACGTAGGGGCTGGTTTCACAGTGGCCTGATCATCCATCGTGAGCTACCCATTAGCCGTTATTCAGTCACCTACAGACCAATGGAGCTTGGTGTTCCCTATGTGAGCTGACATACGGTGGGACAAGGATACTTTTCAAGTATATAAAGCAAGCACGAGTGAGGGGGAAGACATCCGAACCCAACTGCTTTTTTAAAAGTAAGCCATAAAAGCAGCAGCCCCACCTATGCTTCTGGATCTCTCTACTTCACTGTGCTTTACTCCTCTCCCCATTTCCCCTTATCGCAGTAACTCTAGAGCCAACCCTGCTTTGGCCATAACTAACCAAAGGAACGGTTTCTAGTTGCCAGCTGCTTCTTCGCAGGCTTTACTCCTTAAAGGGAGGTAGGAGCCACGGAGAACGGACATTTTGCCCAGCCCAAGTTAAGCCCGTCTCTGACCACCTAACACCCAGCGAGACAACCACTCCAAACAGACACGCTGTACAACCACATCCAGTTCTCACTGGACACCAAACCCAAAATGCGCATTAAGAGGACATTAGTCCACGCACGTGCCGGGCAAAGCGGCAACCCTGACGCTACCCGACAGGCGGGGAAGCTTTTACGAGTGCTCGCTGGCTTGCAGAGAGGCATCGAGCAGCTCGTGGAGGGCAGGGGCAGAGCCGGGCTGGCGGCATTAGCGGGGGGTTCGTCTCCTCCGGCACCGGCTCCCTCGCGCTGGGCCGATGGAAATCCATTCCCAGGACAAGCACTTTTTGTTAGGCTGGGGGAGCCAATGTTTTTGGCAGTTGCGCTGCAGCGACAGCCCTAAAACCCTCCTTGAGTGTCGCTACATCCCCTGCCCAATCCATTGCTCTTTCTCCCCTTCTCCCCACGCTCCCTGCCCGACCAATTGCTCTGCCTCCACCCTGTCCCATCCACTGCTCTGCTTTCTCCCCTTGCCCCATGATCCCTGCCCGATACGTTGCCCTTTCTCCCCGTGTCCTGCACTCCCTGCCCGATCCATTGCTCTGCCTCCTCCTCTCGTCCCTGCCCAATCCGTTGCTCTGCCTTCCGCTCCTCGCCCCCCCTACCTGCAGGGCCGCCGGGCACGCAGCGCGAAGAGCGGGCTGAGAAGCCGCGGTGCCGCCCGCGCGGAGCCACCCGCCATGCTCCGACTACGCCTCCCGCCCCGCTCGGCACCGCAGCTCCCATGAGCCCCCGCGCCACGGTCTGGGAGGGACTACGACTCCCAGCAGCCCCCCGCCACAGCGAAGCAGGCCGGCGCTGGGACTAGAACTCCCAGCAGGCACCGCGGAGCGGGGCGGGGCGGGCGGTCTGCATCGCCTCCGAATGACCGGTCTCCTGCGGCGGGTCGTGACGTCTACCCTCGTCTGGGCTTGGCTCTGCCGTGTTGCGTCATAGAGGGGGGCGCGGTCGTGGCCGGGCTCGAGGGTGCGAGCTGCGCGGGGTCCCGCCCACGGGGAAGGAGGCTCGTGGCAGCCTTGCACCTCGCACCACGTTTTTAGGGCAGCACAAAGGCGACGTCCCTTCCCGCCCTCGGTCTGTGCAGCCCCCGCCGCGCTCTGTGCGGAGACGCTGCCCCACTGTCCACGGAGCAGAGCTGCCGTGTCTCGCATCCTTTTTCCACCAGCACCCGCTGCTTCCAGACCCCAGGCCGAGGCGATGCTCAGCCACGTTAGCGCCAGGCTGGTCACGGGGCGGGGGAGCGAAACCCACTCGCGTTAGCTGCCCCGTGTGCCCCATTGGAGCGTGGGCCTGCCCCGAAGCCAGCCGGCGCTCTGGCAGGCGAGGGCGTGGAGGAGGGTGGCCGGGTGGGGAGTGCCGCCCTGGGTGAGCGTGAAAGAAGCAATTGCTCCTTCAGCTGCAGTGCTGGCACCAGCCGAGGGTGTAACCGGGAGCAGCCTGGCAGCCGTGCTGTGGTGTAAGTGTCTGAGCCGCTTTTAAAGAACGACAAGGCAGACGGTTCCCAAGAGTAGTGACATTAGTATTTACAATCACGGACGGGCTCCCACAGACTGGCTCGTTGCAGGACGGCAGGACAGCAGCACTTTCCCTCTCACCCCTCTGCACTCCCAACACACGCACTAACAATCAAGACTATTTTCTCCCCCTTCCCCTCAGCATCTTGCTCTTCTTTATTCCCCTTTCTCTGTCCCTTCTCCATTTTGGCTATACCCTCCGAATAACAATGCATCCTATTCTACGTACAGTACAGAGGAAGCACCGCTGGCCAAAAATACTGTAGTCTCCATTTCCCTCTCAGCTCTGCATCTGATACTGGCTCAAGGGAGAGAGAACATGACTGTCTTCACCCTGGTTGCTTATAGCCTCTCCCAGATACCTGGCAAGGCCCCAGCTGGTTGCTAGCCATTTGTTTTCTAGTGTTGGCACTTGAGCTCTGGTTCATCCTCAGTTGATCCCTGCTCTTTGCACCCAAAAAGATTGTGGTCACTTTTGAAAGTGTCAGCCACAGAGGACTGCACAGCCTCTACCCTCCCAGTGCTACTGAGCTTACTTGGTATCAGAAATGTCAAAAGAAAACCAAAGCACTTGAGAAGCTGCTGTTTGGCTGAGAGCACCCCAATAAGCCACTGACTAGGTATCTGGAACCTAGCACAGTGCACAGGAGAAGTGCCAAGGTGAGTGTCACCTTCCTCTAGGGCCTCTGGACTAGACTGTTGCCAGAGGCGAGGCACATGCTCTCTGATCCAGTTTGGCACAAGGCAAGACCAGACACTAAGTATGTCAGTGGTCTGGTTTGGTTTGGTCTGGTCTGGTCTAGCAGAGCAGGGTCTAACATAGCATTGACTCCCAGGAACTTCCATTTTATGCCTGTGATGAAAGCTCATAGCACCCCCTGGCTGAAGTATCATGCTGACCCATGCTTGACAGATGGCAAAAAATGGAGGCACGTGATGTAAAGCACAGACCCACTGACAGAATCTGGACGATAATCCAGCAGCTCTGGCTGCCAGCTACCTGCACTGTCCACTAATTCTCACTCCCTGCTCCAGTTTGTTATTTGCCAAGAAGGAAACACATCCTTCAGGAGGGCTGGTGTTCCAGTCCTGTTCAAGGTGCTCCTTCCTCAGAGACGGGTATTCCAGCAGCATGCAAATCTTATCGTTGAAAGGTTTCCCCCCTCCCCGCCCTTTCCCCAATACCCCTCCCACTCCCCTCCTCCCCAGCAGTTCTGTCATCATCTTGTTTGCTTGCCAGACGTCAGCGCAATTGGAGGGTGGGCGCTTCTCCTTGCACTTCTCCCCAGCACCCTCTTCCAAGGTCCTTGGGGTAGAGGGGCTTGTGGCTCTTCAGTATGTCCCAGTGTCCAGTGGGTTCTTGGCAGGCTGTGAGGGCTTGCTGCCCTGCTTAGGTTTGTTTCATTTCCCATTCCTGCAAACAGAAGAAGGAAAGAGGGAGAGAGTCAGTTTAAGGGCCTGCTAGCAGGAGGACAGCACAGAGAGATCTGGAGCAACTTTAGGCCCCATGTTTTAGACACTGAGACCTGTACTGGGAATGGGGCTGTAGCTCCGATCAGGGTCCTTCACCTCATGTGGGACTCAGCGGTTGTAGATGGAAAGAAACCTGATGAGGCCTTGTATAGCTCGGCCTTCCCAGGGCTAAGATAAGATAGCAAGTGCTTTGGCCAATGTAGCTCAGCCTCCTAGTGACAGTTACCACCACTTTCCTGGGAATCAGGCCACAAATTGCCACTTGAATGATCTCCAGCCAGGTAGCCTGACACCTTGCTAGTTTGAAGGTTACCTGCCCCTTCGGCAGGCAGATGATGTGCATTTGCTGGGGAGGCATGTAGTTCTCCAGCCTCCTGGCCTGGGAAAGGTTAAGTGTCTGAGGATCTGATGTGGGTGGGATCAGGGTGTCAGCTTCATACCTTGTTGGCAGGGAGAGGGGGAAGGTGCTCCTAGGCTGGGAGCACAACTATACCTTGGCCTTCTGCAGCACGTTCCCTTTGTTGGTAGGAAGGAGGGAAGGACTCCTTTTCCTCATCTCTGCTGCGCAGTTAACGGGGACCAAGTGCTCTGGGGCATTCCCATTTGGCTTATTTCCAGTCTCCTGTAGAAGGGGAAAAAACAAATGTTTAGAGACCCGGGGAGCTGTGACAGCAGGAGATGGGGATGCAGTGAGACACCAGATTGTAGCACAAATTGGCAGCTTCCCCATGTATCAAATGAGCATTAACCATCCAGTAAGGGGCAGCTGGGCAGACTAAACTGCAACAGGCAGTGGCAAGGCTGTGTGGGGAGCCCAGGACTGAAATAACTGGGGGGGCTGCAGGTCAGTTCTTAGGTGCCTCAGCAGAACAAAGGAGAAGCCACTTGGACTTAAATGGCCTAAGAGGAGGACAATGAGGATGCAGGACTTCCTCAGCTTCAAGGTTGGCAAAGCACAGGGGAAGGTGCAGTCTCAAGACCAAAGTGAGTCTAGCTGTATCCCTGCACTTCCCACCTGCTGTAGTCACAAGCCAGCAGCAAAAGGAGTCATCCTAGCCCTGCCCCAGTGCAGCATAAGTCCCCCAGCCTGTGGATGGATGAATGGATGGATGGTAGGTAGCATCTCCATACCCCATTTTCAGCCTTGGTGGTCACAGCTAGCCCCAGAGCAGGCCCTCCAGCTAGCGACTGTTTCAGCCTGTCCTTCACCTCTGTCAGCTTGAGCTCCAGGTCCACACGTCGTTCCTCCTTCCCCTTGCATTGTTCTTCCAAGGCCACAATGCGCTCCTCCAGCTCCTTCAGCTTGTGCCCTGCTCCCAGCACAAAGAAGATGGGTCAGGCCCCATCAGTTCAGAGATGCCTGGAGGTTGCAGGCTGCAAAGGGGGTTCAGAGGTGGGTCTGATTCATCCCTTCCCACCTGAAGATCTGAGTATTTCATTTCTGGGTGGCAAGGAGGGTTGTGGTCCCAGCTGGGGATGCTCTAACACTTCTGTCTAGGTCTGTTTCTAGTGTCATAGTGCCTATTCTAGCTGTGCAGGGCAGCAGGATCCTGCCTTTGCTAGGATTTATTAGGAGCTGGTTTTCTGCTCTGACTTTTCAAGCTCAGGAACTGAGCAGGAAACAGTTACACCCACTTTGCTGGGGAGTCGCTCATGTTTTGGTCACTAGGTGACGCTGTTGGTCAAGGGTTGCAGCAGCAATTCCCAGCAGTGGAAGCAGCAGTCTGCTACAGCCTGCGCTGACTCAGCTCTGCAGCTGGCACTTCGCATCTGACCTGAGTGGAAAGAAATAGCCATTTTGGCAGAGGGCTTAAGGCGAAGCCCCAGCCTGAGAGGGGGAAAAGCCAGGAACAAAGAGTGTGAGGAACAGCTCCAGAGCAGAGCAGTGCTGAGGCTGGACCAGCTGGGAGTCAGCACTGCCCAATCTGGGAGACACAGGCCCAGAGGGAGTTGGGCTGCTGCCGGTATAACCTGCATGGGACCGGGGTGAGGAGCAGGAGCTTATTGGCAACTGTGCACCCAACTGGCAGAACTGTCTGCACAATCAGGCACCCCAGGGATGAGGAGATGGTAGGGGAGGCCTGTGAGGAGGCTCTGCAGGTGCAATGCCAGAGCTGGGAGCATGACTGCTGGTGGGGAAGATGTTTGCAGGTCAGGCTTGGCAGGACTAGATGGAGGACACATGCAGCCACCCTGACTGTTGGGCATGAACAAGTTGTGCCCAGATGGAGACCACAATCTCCTTGCACACAGGGGTGAGGAGCAGCTCAGAAGATGTGTGTTTCCTCTCCTGCCTGGTGCTGCAGCTGGCCCATACCTGTGCTGCTCTTCATGGCTTCCCGGAGCTCCCGCTTTTCCTTCTTTAGGGCCACCAGCTCATTCCTGATAGAGGATTTCTCCTTCTCCAGCTTCTCCTTCTCTGTTAGAAACCTCCTGGCATCCTCCTCAGCCCGGTTCTTCCCATACCTGTACTGGTTGGCATCTGCAGAGACCAGGATGCTGGCTGTCAGGTGAGGGGCTTAGGGTTGGCACAATGGTCTCTGCCTCTGTAAGGGACAACTGGGATACCAGCTCAGGAAGGCAAGAACAGGACTTACCAGGGATGAACCAGGTCAGCTCAGAGAGGCTGGACAAGGTCATGGCAGGAAGGACAACTCCCTGAGCAAGAGTCAATATGCCAGCCCTCCCCTCTCCCAGATGGCACTGGGGGTCCTGTTTGGCTGCTATGCAGATTA